AATCTTCATCTACCCGGGTATTGATTGTGGCTCAGGCCACCAGATCCATGTTCCTTTAGTTTTCAAAGCGCACCCTTGGTTACCAATGTCTCAGCTGCTGTTCGGACCCACCAAAAACCAAGCCGGTAAATCATCATTCACGAAGCGGAAATCAGGGATCCCTATGAAAGAAACCTTGATGGGTGACTTTCTTCCCCCCGAGTCCCTTCACATGACAGTTGATCAATATTCCTGTTTAAACGCCATCTTCGCGAGCAAAACAGTTTCTTTCGCGAATCTTTCGCGACTCCATCGCCACATCCTTTTGTTTGCAGCGCGCGCTCTGGAGCCATTGTGGCTGCTGCAGTTATGCTTGCAAACACGGTAGCCGCAGTTCACTTGCGCGCAGTATGTAGTGTTAAGTGCAAGCAGCTATCGTCATTCGCCCTTACTACTTGCGCTTGCCGGCGAGGTGCGGAACCTTGCAACAAGCTCCCTGGACTTTCGCCGGTCTTTCGCGGATCTTTCGCGAAACTTGCTCCAAAATAGTCCAGCCAACGTTATTGATTTGCACCATTCCCAACACAGGCAGGGAATCAATAATGCAAGTGTAGGTGCTGCGTATCTCCCTATCTACAAGGGAGCGGGGTCTGCAAATATGTAAGTGCACAGGCATGCCTCCAAGAATCCAACGCGGAATCTTTCGCGAAAAAATAAGTTTCTTTCGCGAACTCCATCGCCGATCTTTCGCGGAGGGATTTAAGCCAAGACGAATGGTCACCGAATACATAAATCCTTGCAGGGACCTTTTGATCAACCCCCACATCTAAATCCACCCCCCCAATCCAAACCACCACCCAGAATTTACCTCAGACCGGGAAAATCATTCCAGAGTATCTCATTGGAGCAAAATGGACTTCGCAACCATCCACAGTATCTCCACCCGATTTTTATGTGGCTAGTATAGCCAGTCAATCAGCCCCCAAAGTCTTAAAGTGGGCTTGTAGAGGGCTACTTCCATTTGGTTAAGGCCCCAGGAAAAATTAAGAATATATTCAGTAGTGAGGAATTCCCTTTAAAACCAACAAGGGGAAAAACAAAAAACAACTGCTCTTAAGCAAATGGAGGGCTACTAACCTCGTACCAAGTGAGCTGAACATCCAAGCAACAGTGATTCAGTCGGAGATCGATCGATCCAGACGTTTGCCCCTTCTCCTGTGGGCGTCCCCTTTTTGTGTGGTTCCCGTGTTTGTTTGCTTTTCGTACGGGAAACCAGGAGGAAACCAAGCGTTTCAATTTCAGGGGTGACAAGTGCTCTCTCACCCCAGCTGGAGGAGAAATGGTCAGCTTGGTGGCTTGGGGGTTCTGACCCCATCTCCTTAAGCCACATGGCTCAGGGATCCTTACAAGAAACACACCTGAACATTGCAACTTGTAAATGGTGGGAAACCTCTTTATTTTGGTGGAAAACGCCATGTTTGAAATGGGCAAAATGGAGATCTTTTAAGGAGCCCTGTGGCTGTACAGGGAGATTCTACGTCCACCCCTGCCCATGAACCCAAGCCCTGAAGAAGAAACACAAATCAAAATCACCATTTGTAAAACCACTCTTGCCCAAACAATGTGGCTGTGGTTGAAGGAAACATGGACTAAAACCTGCGGTCCAATTGGTGGCTTAATTTTGACCCACAGCCACATGGAGAAGGTAACCCCGGCAACAAACCGAGAAGCAAGGTGAAAGGGACCTGCGGCGCCAGCCAAAGCCAGGATTCAAGTCTCTTGGCCGGACGTGTGCATACCAACAAACCTTCTGGTTTCAACCATTAAAGGGAAAGTCCTCCAGTAGAGAGGTTACAATAAGGGTACCAACCTTTTTCTGTAGTCGATTTTAGTAGGGGAACCGAATCTCCCAACCAAAAAAGACGGTAGAAAGGGCACCCAGCTGGGGGGGCCTAGGTTTCATTTCGCGCGAGTTTCGCCACCGTCCTGGGGTGGACCTCCGGGCGCATGCGCGGGCCTTGGCCCCTGGCGGTTTCAAAGGTCCCAGCTGTGGCCTCCGTGCCTCGGGGTGTCTCTCGATTGCCAAATCGGCGAACCCGAGGTTCAGCTCTTGGAACCAAAACCTGGAGTCTCCATGACCCGCAACAAAAATGGTTGGTCATTGCCCAAAATAAAAGGGGTCGTGGAGTCATGGACCCATTTTTAATGGGCCATGGAGACTCCAGGAGGATGTTTCCTTTGAGAAGGTGCAACTGGTTGTGCGGAACAAATGGAACTCACATGGGTCCAATTTTATTTTCCTTTTCAACAGGGAAACGTAGTGCCCTCAACAAGGGTCAGAGTCCGACAAAAAGAGGGCTTGACATCTCCTTGGCTTGAAGACCCAAAGCCATGGTGCTTCTTGCAATGGAGTTTGAGATTTCTGGGCCCGGGGTGTGTCTTCGGTTTTGAGCTTTTCTCCAAAACGGAAGGTTTCAAGGTGACATTCATGGGGCACACTCAAGGATGTCGGTTGCTTCTGATAGGTGTCCGATACCAGGTGTCCAAATGAGACCCCCATAAAACCGCCGAGTTTTGACACATGCCCATATATTGGTGGGTCAAACCTCGGGTAACCCCCATTTAAAGGGGGGCCCTGGTGAATGGAAACAACGACAAAACCCTGCGGTCCAATTCCTGGTGCTTCCTTTGGCTTGAAACCCAAACAATTGGCCATGGCGGTTCGTTTTCCGGCAGTGCACTGCCGGGGAGCCACTCCCCAAAGCGTTTTTTTCCGCATCCCTCAGCATGTTCCCTTGGAACTTGGTATCCCAAGCCCTTGTTTCAACACCCAACAGCCTCCATTTGCTTTTTCGCCCCAAACAGGGGAAAACAAACAAACATATCCTTAACCAAACGGAAGACCAGAATTCTTTAAACCTCCTGGTGGCGCGGATTCACCCGCCCGGAACCAGTCGAGTCCGAACGACAGCCGGCAGTGGCTCAAGGCATCCTTCTGGGGCCGAAAGAGGGGTAATGCTAATCCCAGATGTACAAACCCCTGCCTGATTTTGATCGTGTGCCCTTGAGTGAAAATTCAGACCACTTTTGGAGGGGCCAACCCCAAATCACCCACCCCCCACCCACCCCCAACACCCCCAACCCCCCCAACCCCGCAAAGCGGTCGACAACATGACAAGGCCCCGGGCGCAGCCATCCGGCGATCTTTTGCTGGATCTGCGGCTGGCCATAGCGGTGGTCCAGCAGCAGGATGGCAGACCAGTCCCTGGCCGAATGGAAAGGAAGCTTCACGTCCCCATTTCTTGTGAAAGGACAGTTTTGGAGTAGTTTCCATCTGGCTTTGTCTTTATTTTTGGGAGTTTCCATATAGCTTTGTGGGAAGGATATCAAAAAAAAACTTGTTTAACAATCAAAAAGAAACTTTGTTTAGCAATCAAAAAACACTTGTTTAGCCATCAAGAAAAAACTTAATGCACTCAGGGCTGCATTTACTGAGAAACGTGTGTATCAAAAGGAACACGCAGTGCACGCGCACGGACACGGTCTCATCACACGTGCTGTAGCTGCGGGGTTACTCTTTTGCGATGGTCTGGGCGAGTAGCGGGGGGGTTGGGGGGAGGGGTGGCAGCCCCCCACCATGATGATCAAGAAAATAATGTTTCAACTGGGGCAAAAAATCCGAGAAGTAGCGGGGGGGTTGGGGGCCCCATGGTGATCGAACAAGTGATGATTCAATTAGGGGTAAAAAAATTAAAAAGTAGCGGGGGGGTTGGGGGGGGCGGCAGCCCCCCCATGATGATCGAAAAACTGATGATTCAACTAGGGGCAAGAAATCTAAATAACCAGCGAGGAGGCAAAAAATCTAAAACTGCCCCTTAGATTTTTTGCCCCTAATTGAATCATTCGATCGTCATGCGGCAGGTGCCCGCCCAACTTCCCCCGCACTTATCGATTTTTTGCCCCTAATTGAATCATCACTTTCTGGATCAGTAGCGGGGGGGTTGGGGGGGCTCCCCCATGATGATCCAGAAAGTGATGATTCAATTAGGGGCAAAACATCTTGAAGTGGCGGGGAAGTGGGGGGGGGGGGGGCCTACCGCATGACCACAAATGTAAAAGTAGAGGGGGGGTTTGGGGGGGGGGTGGCAGCTCGATGATCAAGAAAATAATGATTCAACTGGGGCAAAAAATCTGAGAAGTAGCGGGGGGGGGGGGGCAGCCCCCCAATGGTGATCGAACAAGTCCCCCCCCATGATGATCGAAAAACTGATGATTCAACTAGGGGCAAGAAATCTAAATAACCAGCGAGGAGGCCAAAAATCTAAAACTTCCCCTTAGATTGTTTGCCCCTAATTGAATCATTCGATCGTCATGCGGCAGCCCCCCGCCCAACTTCCCCCGCACTTTTCGATTTTTTGCCCCTAATTGACTCAAAGGAGAGGGAAACACAGTTTTGTCAACAACGGGGGAACCCGGGACCTTAAAAGGAACGAACCCCTCCGTGACTGCGACCTCTCCCTTAACCTTGGGGCTAGCGCGGTGCAACGCGCTGTTTTCAGCACTTGAGCCAAAGCAGTGATTGGATCATGCTTTGGCAACCACTTGAATGTACAACATGCAACTGACTACATGAGAACCTACCTCATGTACCTCTGGGCCATAAATGTCATCGTGATAATTGACTCCCCCCTCATTGACGGCACTGAGGGAGTGTCTTGGGCGCAGTACCACGCCAACTTGAAGTCAAGTTTACATCACAACGACTGACGCAAGTTATTCAAGCATCACCCAGGCACTTTGCACACTTTTGGAAATTTTGCGGACATGCTGCAGCGCACTAGGCAGCTGCTTTAGCGGATCTACTTTCACGAACGTCTTCAAGCTTCTCTGGAAGGTCAACACGAATGCCGAGCAACCGGATGGCATGGTCCCACTTGTTGGGTGGAAGAGCTTTCGTGAAGATGTCTGCTGACTGCATGTCGGTTTGGACGTATTCTATCGAGATGTGTTCGCTTTCCAGCTGTTCAGCGATGCACGCGAGGTTCACCTTGTGGGTGCGCTGGACACAGCGTAGCTTGGATGAGAATCCTTTCTTTGCTACGAGGATAGTCGCCTGGTTGTCCTCGTGGATCTTGAGATGGAATGGTCTGTCCAAGATCAGCTCCCATAAGCTGAGCGCAGGGAGCGCCTCCTGATAAAGGGAGTACGCGAGGGATACGATCTCCGCCTCGGTTGTCGATCGGGAGACCGAGGTCTGCCTCTTAGACACCCATGCAAGGGGGAAATGCGTATGCGGACCACTCAAAGTCAAGAATCCTCCGGACGTTGATTTTGCGTCTCGTTCTCCAGCGAAATCGGCGTCCACATAGAGAGCCAGATGCAACTCATCAGTCGAATCCTGAACTGTGCCAACTAGCGTGCTGTTGACCGTGCTGTTTATGTAGCAGACAAGCCTATGTAGCTGCTTATCGCAGTTCCTAGACCATTTCTGAACAAATGAGGCAAGGTCGCCAATGGGCTTGACCAGGTCTGGGCGTGCCAAACGGCCGAGCCACAAGGCTTTCATTAACACGCGGCAAGCGGCGAAGCCGAGCTCACCCCCCAAGGCGTCATCTGCAGGATCAAGTGATCCAGCGGGACAGAATGGAGTGGTGGCATCACGCAACTTTTCCGTTTTTAGCTGTGCAACCTCAAGATATAATGCAACCGTTTGACGGGCATAATCCCGCATGTCGAACGCCATGCCCCCTTTCAATCTGCCCATTGCGGCATTAAGATCGGGTTCAGTTGGGTCCTTTGGAGCATCTATCAAAAGGTGGTTCCTGCCTAGCACCCGATATATGTCTTCTGGGGGTTCTATATCAACCAGTCTTGTTAACTTTTCCCAGAAGTCTTTGTGAAGGTGGCTGGGGCCGGCCAACGTCAAGTCGTCGACGTATGTCGAGAGAAGTAACCCGGACTCCTTGAACCAGAAGTTTCCAGGAAACTCTGCGACCTCACGCCCTCCAAGTTCACTAATGAACCCTTTGAGGTGTGCCTCCCAGAGTCCGCCAGCGTCAGGATGCCCATAAAGAGCTTTAACGAGCAAAACCACAGGTTTCACGAAACGCTCGCGCCACCACCTTGGCCGGAGCTCAGGCGGGAGTGTGATCCAAGTTTGGTACTTGGACTTCAGCAGGGCTTGCACATACGCCTTTATAGCGTCCGCTGTTGTGGTGGAATTCCCTGGCAGGGATCCATAAGCGAGACAGTTATTAAGACCTTGTACGCTCGTGGGATTTGCTCCCAACTCTTGGTGCGCCATGTTCGTCTTTCGCACAGTCTCCGCGATACACAATCCTACCTTTCATCTTCTGAAGGTGTTTCGCGAGTTCGGCGAACTTGACGGATGCTAACGACATCAACTGCCCGAAATGGACTTTTATACTGGATCGTCGCGCCTCAGCAGCGACTTGATCATACTCTCGGACTGAATTTAGATCCCAAGCACCGGCTTTCTCTAGGCCTGTGGCTTCAAGTCGAACGGCTTCAAGGGCTTCCGGGGAAGCCAACATTTCGGCGCGTGACAAGAGTCTGGTCACCATTGCGGTGATCTCAGGATCCTTCTCCTCCTTGACTTGACCTAGGGAATGTGCGATGAGATTTTCAACATCAAGAACTTGTTCAAGGATGTCGTGACACTTTTCATCGGACTCAACAGCAAGACCTATATCTTCCAAACCAGAGAGAGGGGATATGTGTTTCAACTGCTGTTCACGTTCCCGGTGATCGAGAGGCAATGGCACTTGGACAGGCATCGCAGGCACAACGGGTTGAACTGTCGGATACAGCGCACGGGCAACTGTGAGACACATGCCTTCGGGGTAGAAAGCGGTCTTTGCGGTCTTGTTACCTGCTGCAAGCGAATGTTTATACCCTTTTTCGTGCGGACACTTGAATGCACCTAGTGCGGATGCGAGTGTGCTATTGCTGGTCATGACTTTCCATGGCTTCTTGATGGGATAACCATTGCTGTCCTTCAGACCTAGGGCGCAACCGTGGAAGGTCGCTGGGGTGAAGACGTGTGCGTATTCTCTAAAGAATGCAGAAACATCATCCCTAGCCCAGCTGTCGCAATCCCTTGGCCACTCAAACGAAACACTACCCCCCTGATGGAGGACAGTCTCTGCGTGACGTCTGAATCTGGAGAACAACTCTCTTGACTCTTTAACCTTTTGCTTCAGTTTCTTTTTGAACTGGCTTCCTAACTTGGCCTTATTAAGGCGTTGCCATGCTGAACCTGATGTACAGGGAATTGCAGCCCAGAGATTGGGTTTATCACAACCTTCAATCTGCGACTGCAACTGGATTTCTCCTTCATCTGTGCTAAGGTCGATAAACTCTTTAGCCAGCCTAACATGAGGTATACCTAGACCTTCAAACACGCGACCCATGTTGGACTCTGGTGAACATGCGTATTCGAACATCACAGGCAACTTGTCAATTCTTGCCTGTCTCTTGCGGGCACGATGATTTCCTACCTCAAACTGCTTGGGCTGTGGAGCTTCAACCTCTGCGCTGCACGGCATGCCAAAGATTGGCAATGTGTTCGGACGACCGTTCTTTGATGCATCGGTGAGAGGTGTCGGCGGTACGGAGTCTAACATCACGGCTGCACCTGTGGTGATAACACAATCGGACTGAATGGGTTTTAACTTGAACACTGTGAACCCGGTCCATGCATCTCCAAGTGAGCGATTGGGTCGGCTACCAAACCAACCATCGTGGATGTTGTCTGCTTTGCCCCCCTGAAACACGGCACGAGTGGTGCGAGCTGCAGTAAATCTTTCTGGGGAAACGGGGCAATCCTCGACCTCTTTTGGGGTAAAAAGATTCTGCCTTGGCATGATGTGGTACCGAACCAAACAGTTGGCATTTTCTTTGAACACCCAAAAATCTTCACCTTGCGATGTAGCGGCTGTCGCTGGCGCGGTATCGAAAAATGAGGCACCGGGTCTTGAGGGAGCGGGCTCCCCAGCTTCGGCTGCATCAAATTCATGCGCAACATCTTCTGCACTAACTGCGGTCTTAGGATCTTCTTCATGCTCGGATGCGTGGATTGCTCTGGCTAGCTCCTCATCCCCTTTAGTGTGAACAATGGGAATGGGTTCCTTAGATTCAGTTTTGGCAGCGCTTTTTGCAGCTGCTTCAGCTCGATCTGCAGAAACAAGTTCGGAGAACCTCTTCTTGCACTCGGCACTGTGAATCTTGGAATGACCAGTGCAT